TTTGCCTGTTTCCCTTTATGTTTTGTTTTGTTTTTGGGTCTGTAATTTTTCAAACTAAGCCTGGATGACACTGTCAAAGGAAAGGCAAGACAACGCTAAAACAGGAACCGCATAGTCATTGCCGACACACATTGAGTCTCATCAGCAAAAGAGCACAGTCCTATTGAGTAAGAAACTCACATTACTTGCCCAAACATTTAGCGTACAAATACGCAAATCAATCCGTAAGCAGTCATAATAGAAACAAAGTAGACAGTGGAGGTTATCTTACAAGCAATAATGTTGCCATATCTGTTCTTTGCCTTGTTTTCTGGCAGCAGCGCGGCATCACTGGCATACTCTTGACCACTGTCCAATTTCTGCAGAAATAGTAACAAAATGATCATCAAAGTTTCAGAGGACATAAGAAGAAGGGAAGTGGGTTGAAGAAAGATGAGGGAGGTGGGTGAAGAAGGGAGAAGAGATGAAGAAAGTGGGAGGAGGGGGAGGGGGGAGAAAGCGTAAGGGCAGGATTTGGAGGGGGAGGAGGGAAGGGGAACGAAACTATACTTGCATTGTATTCGATCATAAATCCACGATCATCAGACTTGTGCATTTTCGTCACATGCTTCCCAAACTGCTCCACGGGTATGGGGGGATGGTCTGCATCATTTGTAATTTCACCTGGAGCAGCAAGCAGTTTCTTTTTAGTACCTGAAACGCAACCAAGAAGAATCATGTTAACGCCCACTATGGATTGTTTAAACGCGAATGACTTTTACTCTATGCTTCAAACTTACTGGAGCGTCGTAGCTCAAACTCTCGTCGCTTTCTTTTCTGATTTTCTACATCAAGGTTTGCATTCGGTGGTCTGTTGGACCTGATATGAAAACAAGTGCGAAAAGGGGTTATCTTTGTCACTCATTGATATTAGTTTACAAACAGAATATATAAAGACTTGTTTGGGGAACATAACTACAGTTTACACGGCAACAAGGACAACACCGGCAACACAGAATCCCAGGTCACAGTGATTTCGACGATTTAAATCTGAAATGCAGTCTTCACCCTTCGTAGGTTTGAAGTTTTCATTGTGGGATTTTTTTCAATCAGAAGTCAAGAACAAACTTGCGCTTGTGTTTTGTCCTAGTCACCACCCTTTCTTTTCGAAGTAACCAAATGTAATGCATTCTGCGCTTATTATGATTTTACTACCGGCCATCCTCGAATTAGGCTCGGTTACCAGCCGCTGTTCCAGACACGAGAGAGCGACGAAAATCGAGCCTATCCTTGAATCTAATCTAGAAAATCACTATCAGTTCGTTTTCAAAAGAACAGGCATAAAATATCACTACATTTCTTCGTACTCGATGTATAAAGCCCCGGCCAAACGATNCATTCTAACTTAACACAAGAAACACCCAGTAGTACACATACATGTGTACATGGAATATTACATGTACATGTACATACATCCTGTCTTTTACCTGCAGTGATATTGCAGCCATAAAGTTCCAATCTGAGTGCACACTGGTTAGAACAGTTTGTAGGATGCAACCTTATGTACTGTGCCACAACCAAAGGACTGAAAACCTCTGTTTTGTTAGGGCTATCACCACCATTGCCTTTCCATATCTTAAAAAAGTAAATGAATTTAATATGATTACAATTATTAATAACCCTAACCCTAACCCTTAGCTGTAGCAGTAGCAGTAGCAGCTAGCTAGTTAATGGCCTCTCTGAAGATGATCAGAATTGACTTTGGTCTAATGAGGGTACACGTACACACGTGTGTGATAATGTTTAGTCTCTCTTCTTCTTCTCTAATTCCCAGTCTCTGGGACACATCAGCATCCCATCCTATTTTCTTCCCAGAAACAAGTGACAGCTAAAATGTCAAATGTTCATTCCTGTACAAGTAAATACACATGCGTACATTTACAGTCAAACCAAGTGAGGCGTACCCCTCAAGATCACATTAATGATTTGAATATTTGAATATTGAAAACGCTAGTCGTTTCACGAATGCAATAATGACTTGATTGTTGGAAAATTGAACCCACCAGTCGTTCCAAGAATACGACTAATGGGTTTAATGTTAAAAAAAAATCAGGAATTTAATATTGATTTTTGAAATGACTAGCGAGTTCAATATTCAAATAATCAGTAATCATTATTGCATTCTTGAAACGATTAGCGGGTTCAATATTGAAATAATCAATAATCAATAATCAATAATCAATGTAATCTTGGGGGGTACATTTCACTTGGTTTGACTGTAATAAATTTAACTTTTACATAAATTATACAGTGTAAATTGTTTACAAGAATAAGTACAGTGTAACCTAGAGCTCTATCTGCACAAAGTCATGTATGTATGTACAAGGACAAGTACATAGATCTAAATAAATTTGTACATGTGTCTGGAACACTTCTACATGAGGCTTAATAAGTACTGTAACTAAAACTGAAACGTGTGACAAGTTATATAATAACATTATACTGCATTTTTTTGCTTGTAAGGCGCACTTGGTTATGAGACACACTGTTAACTTTTTGACAACATAGGACAGTGCAAAGTAGGTTACAAACTGAAAATTTCTCCCAAATACTCAGTTACAAGACACAACCTTAATAACAACAATATGCTTCAAAATTTGCTAATTACAGTCTTTTTACCCTTGCAAACAAAAGCCAAAAAATATATATAGTTCCACCCTGAAAAGCATTAAATTTTGTTATTTTTAACTTCAAGTTGATATCCATCTTAATATCAAATACATGTACCTTTAATTTTCCTTGAACAGTATAGTTCATCCAGTTACTTCCATCATCACCATAACTCACATAATACGACTTAACAAAAGAACCATTGAAGCCTTGTGTAACAATAGCAGTCATATTTCTCCTATACTGTAGATTCACTTGTATCCATGGATGTTTATCATCTGACCTGGGAATCCATGCTTTTGTGTTTCCTAATCTTGCATTAGAAGCAGATGAGTCAGAATCCATTGCTGATGATGCCGTGATATCCCTGTCAGGAATGCTGCCTCTTGCCATGCCAACTGCCGGTGTGGAACAACCTGAGAGTTAAAAGAATCATCAAAATGAAAAATTAAATCACTGCAAAGGACACATATAGTAAATGTCTATAGTGCACACTTTTAGCATAGTTGAACCCTGTTAATCCATTCACCAACAGGCCATATACATGAACGAATCTGGTCGTAATAGCGAGATGGCTATATGAACTAGGTGGTGGTTTAAGGTAGGATTCCACTGTACTCAAGAAAATTAAAAAGAGATTTATTTCCAGGTGAAAGGAAACTGTTTCCAGTAAAATTTACAGAAAGCAGACTGCACTGCTGAATACAGGAAATCACACTCACAACAGAGATGCCAGATGCCAGATGCCAGTCACAGCAGAGATGCTCGAAATCTGCCCGGAGATCATAAATATTATCTTTTTGACCAGAAACAAAAGGTTGTTAAAATCACATGTAATGCACATGTACATGTACAGAGCTCCTGACCAGCCCTTTGATTTAACAAAAAAATGCATCAAATATCCAAAATTCCCCACCCTCCCCCCTCCCAAAAAAAATACCAAAACGCTGGAAAACTAAGCATGAAAAATGAACAGAAATCATTATTTCTTCTTATCCAGGGCTCGAAATTGCGACTCACTGGTCGCCAATGCGACCAAAACTTGAGCACTGGCGACTAAATTTTCAGAACTGGTCGCCAGCTGGCGACT